TCTTTCCCTGCTTCATCAAGATTGTCCCAGTCTGGCCCACATACTGGGACAACCCTGCATACCTGGAACCCCTCTGTGATATGGGGCTCCTGACCTTGGCTCAAAGCTGCCAGAGACACCCCAAGCAGGGAAGGTACCTTCACTTCAAAGAATGCTGATCCAAACGTAGGCCACTTGAAGACAATCTTTAGGAAGGCAAGCTTGGCTTCTTCTCTTGTTTTGCCCGCGTGCTTATTGTAGTATGCCACGATGGACTGCAAGAGAGAACACAACAGAGCTGGAGGGTTTGCACTACCTAGCACTAAGCATGTTTTCAGGGAAGGAGCATCGGTCCCACAAAGATGGTTGGTTCTAGTCTCTGCTCCAATGAACACTTCATAAAAATGCTGGCTGGTCACTGGAGCAGGGCCTGGAACCAAGGCAGGTCCTCCTTTCTTTAGATGTTTGGTGCTGGTGACTCCATTAAAGGGATTATAAGTTTTGATCCTCCAATTTATGCAGCAGAGGAGACTGAGAGACCTTCAGCCCGGAGAAGCTGATAGCTCACTGGTTAGGCACATGGCTGAGTTTAAGTCCCAGGAAACAGCAAGGACTTACAAAACTATCTCTTGGCAGTGAGATATGTATGTTATTTTATGGCTTTAGGCCTGTCTGTACCTGTGCCACAGCTCACCCTGTCTGCCTTAAACAATAGATCTTCACATGAGACCATCTCCCAGCATCTGTCCTTATGATGCTGCATCCACCACTACAGCCACAGCCACGAGCAGCACAAAAACCCACGGCAAGGTATGCATGTACGAACACGCATGTACAATTCTCTCCTCTGCTAAGGCTTGAGAGGGACCATGGGTCACTCATTCTGGCAGCCCCACTTGGTGCTGAATGTCAAGAGAAGTCACTCGAGAAGTTGGGCTTGCCCCAGCCAGGCCTGGCATATGACTCAAGCTGCTGGTTTTACCCTTTTCCAGTCGTCTGGAGAGAGCTGCCGGATGAGGTCCTGAGGCACCAGCTCCTTCAGGAGCTTAGGGATGCTGGGGAAATAGGACTTGTCGTCCTCAAACTTCACCCGGTAGATGAGAGCTGCCAACTGCAGGACCTCTTCCCGTGTGCACTTGTGGTAGCCACGCAGGTACTTTGGTAACTCCTGCATGGAGGAAAGAATGATTTAGAGGGGATGACAATGGGCCTTGTTTGTCAGATGCTAAATGGAGTTTGTGGAGTTGTCCAGCCCCTGGTTAAGAGGCTGTGCCCTGGTTAACACTCGTAGCAGTTGTGTTGACTCTGGTGGAGAGGCAGCTGCTCAGCTGAGACCACACTACATGTTTAAAGATCCTCTCTGATCTAAAACAGTCTCCTGTTATGTGGAACAGGGAGGTCCATGTGTTAGCTATCAAGTGCATGAACCTACCGTCTTGTTCACCCTTCCTTATCCCAGGAACTCTGCCTCTAGTAATGGTCACTTGAAATTGAATAGGTTTTCTGCTTTTTTTTTTTAATTTAAAAAATCTATTTCCAAAAGTGTCTGAAAACACATCAAGAGACTAACTCAAGCATTAGGGGATACAGACATATTGGGATAACCATTTTATCCAGGCAAGAAAACAGGGAGTGTATGTGTGCGTGAGCTAGAGCTTCGAGACATGAGCGGATCTCTTCCATCCTAGAAGAAAGAAGAGCAGAAGACTTGTAACTTCTTACCTAACTGCTGGGATCATCATAGCTCATCTCCACGGATGGAGGTGGCTGTAAACCTTTAGGATGCTTCTGAATTCAGCCTCTCCCATTTCTTGCTGCTCATCCAAGAACAACTAGCCCAAATCCCAGCTGAGCTGGTTACCCTAAAGTGCATGAAGGCTGCTCCTTGCCATGCAATCCAACAGCTCTCTTTACAGTGCTCTATAAAGTAGTGCTCTATAAAGTAGAACTTCTTTGTATTTAATGCAAGACTTCATCCATCTGCAGACAGACAAAGTCTTTGTAACCCATTCCTAATTCCTCCCAAGTCTCCACTGTTATTGCAGGCTCATGGAGTACCTGGTAGTAGTGGAAGATTGAGTCTGCCATCGAATCCTTTCCAGGCGTTGTGTTGGTCCACAGCTTCTTCATGAAGAACACTTGGTAGGTGAGGGAAGGCACTATACCTGTTCAAAGGAAGCAAGGAGTGGATATATAAAAGCAATGCTGCAAGCACCAGCTGGCAATCAGTGTCCCCGCAAGCCAGTCGTGCCCATGTGCCATCGCAACCTGCAGAGAAAAGGGCCCTGCCAAGAGCTCCACTGAGACCTTGCAGAGAAAACCACATCTTTCCCTTGCAAAGCTTTAGCAAAATGGGCAGAGCGTCTGGATTCATTTGCACGGCTGTGCTTTGATGACAGTGCTCACGTCTAATGCAGGACAGAGGAATTGCACCCTGGAGGCACCTGTGTCTTGCAGCTACTGATACATTCAGCAGAGTTGCAGCCAGCTCCACTGGGGATAGGGGCAGCAAGATGAGATGAATCCCACCACTGCAACCTGCCCACGAGCTGGCCCACCTGCCTACCAGCAGGTGCTTTTGGTAGGGGTCAGGTCCCCCCCTGCTGCTCCTGGACAGATCATCTCCCAGGTGATGGCCCCGAGACTGGTGCAGACAGCAAACCCACAGTAGTGTGGTCCAACAGATGTGGCAGACTGTCTGGTCAATCTTGTTTGAAAGGGCTGAAGGGCTCTAGGAGGGCCCTGTGTGACACACAATGAAGAAAAGTCACTATTACCATCTTTTGCTGGTCTTGCTTTCTTTATCCAGTCCGTCAGGTGTCTCACAAAGTCAAAGAAGAAGTCTCCCTCGGGCACACTGATGACCTGGAGGACACAGCACATGGTTATAAAGGCAGAGCAAGCGGCAAGAGGCCACAGGTAGGGTTGGTCATTGCCCCATCTCCTGTAGTTGTCGCTCACTGCTTTGTCCTGGTTTCACTGATGTGTTACAAACTGCTGATGTGAGGAAGCCACTGCCAGCACCTTGCTGCAGGCTCTGTCTCTAATTTCACCCATTACTCCTTATTGCAGGATCCCGTTTCCCCGGAGCGATTCATTTCCCTTCATGATGACTATCTCCATAGATTCATCCCAGTTGCCTGAGGCAGCTCTGAGCTGCACTTTTTTCTTACTTATCCTTTCTTATAAACCCGACGCAGCGACAGGCTGGAAGAGCTTTGCCTCTCTGTGTTTGAAGCCCTTTGGGATGATGGCTGTAGGTCAGGGCTGTGGGACTGTGAATCTCACCTGCAGCAGGTTGGATCTGACTTAGAAACACCACAATGCTCACGGAGAAATGCGTCTCACCTGTGAAGGTGCAGATAGCTCTGGCTCCACCACTGTGTACCCACTGGCTAGTGGGTTACCCAGAGTGCCACTGACTACCCCAGCCTCTGGGTGGGTCACTCACCTTGTCAGAGATTTTGACGAAGAGGCTGAAGCCCTCAGAGGACTTTAGGAGAAGCCTGTTGGAGATGTTCTGGCAGAAGTCCTTGGCTTTCGTGCTGGACTCCACCTCAAACGCCTACAAAGAAAGGAAGATCCTCACCACTGCTACCTCAAGTTAATTTCTACTTTATGCTCTCTTTGAGGCACTCTAGGCTCAGACACATGAAGGGATTTAGGTGCCCACCACAGATGAAATCAGTGACATTGTGGATTGTGGCTCTGGGCATGGGAAGGGATGTTTGCAGAAGCTCAGCCAAGATACTGCTGTACCGATGTGCTTAGTGATGCTCTATCCATATCCTGTGTGGCTTATCCAGGGCTCCCCAGGCAACACAAGAGATTTTTCTGATCTAACAGTTAGATCTCAGAGCTATTTGTCTAGGGTGGGGGGAGAGAGAGAGAGAGAGATACCTTTAGGCTGATTTGTTCCAACTGTCTCCACTGACGATGAGGAAGTCACATGCCTGGCTTAGACCAAATACCTGGCTTAGACCAAATGCCTGACTTCTGGGTAGCTCAAGAGAGGGGAGATGACTCCTGCTTTACGTGTGGATGGGATATCTAAAGGCCTGCCCCACCTGCATGCAGGTCTCAGCCCCTGTTTTGCCTTTTGAGCTGTGCTCAGCATTTACTTTTTTTATTTTTTTTATAGTTTTGCTCTGCCCACTTAAAGAGATTCAGTTCATGGCAGTTTAAGAAATTTAAGCTTCTGAGCACCACATGTGTTAGCCTGAATCACCAAACCACCAGGACCTCTGTTCCATATCCCACCACAGACTGGCCTGGAGCTCAGTGCTGCTGGTGTTCAGCAGCCCTTTGGTGCAGATAGATGTTGTACCAGGGTGATGCTAGTCTACCTGTGTGACTGCCATGGTGAAAAGGATCACAGCAGAGCCATCCAAGTGCAGAAGACCCCACTGCCTCCTTCTGCTGGCTCTCACACAGGTACATTTCCATAAAGCAGTGCCATGATTATTGCTGGTTATGTAGAAAAAAATACTCAAAGTGATGAGAAACCCCACCAGTTCTCTGAACTCTCCATCGCAGATACACAAGGTCACGCACAGCTGCTAGAGAGGAATCATCCTTTTCCTTCCATGGGTCTGCACTGCTTTACACGTAAACTCACTTGGAAATCCAAAAATTTATTTGTGCCCAAGGACATGAGGGGAGAGAGAGATGGGAGCCTCACAGGAAGAATAATCAGTAGCATGAGACAGCAGTATCTGCAGGGACATGTATATCGCATCAATACGACTAGCTGCCTTATTAGCATGTAAGATGCTTAATGAGAGGTTCCTGAGTGCAGTTATCATGATTTCTGTGTCATCTCAGGTCAAAAGGAATAATTTCAGTTGCCTACTTGCAACTGTCAGAACCAGCTCCCTGCCCAGTCCCTGAGGAGATCTATCATGGTACCCTGCAGGGTGCAGTTGGGTGGACAATATCTGTCAGTCTAGGATACAAATAACTGATTGCCAAGGCTTGTGAACCACTGAGAGAGAGGATGGAGATGAACCCACCCAAATTCCCTCTTGCTGGAGCCATACTACAAAGCCTCAAGTGAATGCAAGCAAATCACTCACGTCTTGAAAAAGATGAATTGCAGTAAATCAAACCCCTGAGCTGGTCAGGGTAGATAAGGATGAATCTGAGGGTGGTGAGGCACTGGAACAGGTTGCCCAGAGAAACTGTGGCTGCCCCATCCCTGGAAGTGTTCAAGGCCAGGTTGGATGAGGCTTTGAGCAGCCTGGTGTAGTGGAGGATGTCCCTGCCCATGGCAGGGGGGTTGGAACTAGATGATCTTCGAGGTCCCTTCCAGCCCTAACAATTCTATGATTCTATGATTTTCTTTACACTGCTCTGGTCCGGAGTTTCCTGGGAAGGCTGTGTTTTTCTAAATCAGAACCAATATTAGCCCTTTCTGAGATTTTAATAAGAAGATTGACAGCCATCTTGACAGAAAAGAAGAATTTCCTTCTCTCCTGTTTACCTCATCGGTGTCATCAGGGAAGTAAACTTTGTGGAAAATTTGGGTGGTTTTGTGTTGAATGGCTTCCACTTCTACCAGATGGGGCGGGTACTTCCTGGATCCATTCCTGCAAAAGAGGAGGTGGCAAGTGCCACAGCATTAAACATTTACCTCTGTTTAAATCTTCCGTTTTAACAAATACTCTTTTTTTTTTAGTAATTTTGGCTAATTTCTTAATATCAGGTTTTTTCCCTCCCTGAAAAGAAGGAATTAAAATTGGAATGGGAAATGTGTATTTGCTTACGTTGTAGGTGACTTGAACGGAGCTGGCATGAGAAAGTCAAGTTAATTAATCTCTATTTTTCCCCACACAATTTACCAGAGATATGTTCCACCCAATGTCCCTTTTGTTCAGCTCCCCCCCCCACCACCCCAATGTCTCCTACTCATGTTTTTTCATGCATACATTGATGCTGTGGCACAGTCAGGACTAGGAGGTCTTTTGGTGCCATACCTCAGGGCTTTCTGGAGTCTCTGGATGCAGTCTGTCGCCAAGGGGTGATGTTTCCGGGACTGCAGGAACCTCTGGACATGGGGCAGGAGGATGTTACTAGGAGGGAAAAGGCCTGTACACAACCACAACAGCTCCCAGCCTTTCTCTTCACTGTACCTACAAGAGGAAAGACCCAGGAGGAAAAAAAATCACTCATGGCATGGACACTCCAGATCTGCTTTGCCCAACACAGGCTAGTACATTTGGGCCAAGGAGAATGAACGACTCTTACTTGATGTGGTTGTCCGTGAGCTGCTTGAGGGTCTGACAGTAGATTTCATCCTTCAGGGGTTCGGCTTTCAAGGCACCTTCAAATATTTGGTCCGTCAGCTCATTGACTGAGCGAGTCCTTTTGGATGGGTAGTCACCCATATACTTCAGCACTGGTGGGAGGCAGGAGTCAAGGATCAGCTAAACCGGATGTTTGGGAAGTCCTTCTGTTGACGATGTGATTAAAGACAACCTACACATGACTACAGAAGTGGCTTCAGCTTGATGGAGGAGGCATAGTATACGGTAAAGGCTTTAAATTGCTTTAGGAGATGTCCAGCAAGCTCTCTTCCTTTATTATGCATCATTGCTTTGAGCAACCTGGTGCAATGGAGGGTGTCCCTGCCCATGGCAGTGGGGTTGAACTAGATGATCTTTGAGGTTCCTTCCAACCCAAACCATTCTATGATTCTATGATTCTATGATTCTATGATTCTATCTCAGGTTGAAAGAATTGCTCTGGGATCAGGATATGTAGACCTAAGAAAGCTGAGCGCAATCATGTGTTACCACCGTAAAAGACCAGAGTTTCACCTGGTGTCAGACACCAGTGGAGCTGCAGTAACATAAACCCAATGATGACCTTCATCATCATGCTATATTGCAACTATTCTGCGTGAGAACAGGCCCATTTTCTGAATTAACACGTATGACACAGCAAAAGGACGAAGATACAATTGCGAATGTCCTTGTATTTTTTTTCCAGTTCTTTTAATTCCTCCTCCTGTTATTATTTGCCAGTAAGAGGAATCCAGTAGTAGCAGCAACAGTGTAATATTAATCAGTAACAGGCTTATACCAACAGAACTGTTCAAACCATGAAGTTTGGATCCTAGAGCAAAGCCTCACCATAAAATAAAAGCTGCTTCATCAGATTGGACCTGTGTCTGCACTCAGCTCATCTCTCCCATGCTGTGTCCATTCTGCCCAGTAAGGGATATTCAGGCATCAAACCCTGTCCGCAGGGCCATGTGGACTGGTTTGCGTCCACACTGATTAGGGCTACAGCCTCCCACAGCAGATCCATTTTGGAGAGATGCAGCTGAAGCAAGCCAGAACAGCACCGGTGAGTTAAACACCAAGCAGTGCAGACCAGCAGGACTCAATAACTTGTTCCCTGGCCCTCATTTATTAAGAACTAGACAGCCCTTAGATCTCAAGGATGCTTGAGTACAGATTTCAGGATCAGACCCATCTCCAAGCCTTTGACATGGTCCCAAAGCCCTTAAGAGTGCCCACAAACCTTTCCATGGGCTTTATCTGGTGCCTAAAGAGCCTGCTCAGCCCTTTGCGTGTCAGACCTGTTGCCCAAGGGCTCCCCCAGGCAGTGGAAGGATATCAATGAAGGCCATGCAGGCTTCTTGGGAGAGCTCCTCGCTGCCAAGGATCTTCTTCAGCAATGGCTGTTTGATGGGCTCACGGGTGTAACACCACAGTTTGTCCTTCCCACGGCTCTTAGTGATCATGACTCGGCTGAGGGTGTGCTTGGGAGGTGGCCTGGTGGCAAAGGCAAAGCAAGAGGAATGGTGGAGAGGTTACAGGGATAAAAGGAGCAGCTTGTGGCCAATGCTTCACCTCAGAAGTTTGTTAACAGCACCTGGCTAGTGAACTCTTACACCAAAATGGGCTTCACTGTTTAGCAAATATCCAGCTCCAGTTCTGCCCCGAGATAACCATTTGTACTTTCTTAGGGCTCAGAAAAGTCCCTTAAGGACCCTACCCAAGTACTGACACCAAAACAACCTTCCCTACCCCAAAGAGCTTCTAACCACAAGAGGAAGGATGTCGGCAATGGATGATCAGGGCTGCAACACTGAAAGCATATTGCCTAGCAGAACAAGCCTACCAGGGTGAAGACATCCCAGAGGATCTGGTCTGCCTGTTTGGGTTGCCAGTCCATCTGAACAAGAGTGGGAATTTTAGGGTCAGTCTGGTCAGCTGCATTCATCAGTGATGCATATTTAAATCTTTGGAGCTGAGATGAAAACGCCCACACCTAATTCAGCTGCTGCCTCTACAGTCTGAGACTATGTATGGGATCATAATGAAGGAATATCAGATCACTAAGCACGGCCTCCCACATAATACTAAATTTCTCACTGTAACACCTGTGCTAAGTCAATCTGAAGAAATCCTTCGTAAAACTTTGTAGAAGATCTACAGCTCAAATGCCATGACTTAAAGTGGAGGTTGCAGTTGTACAAAGTGACACAAGGAGATATTCAGAGTCTTTTCCAGTAGCAAAAAAATCCCTGATTCCCAAGCTACCTGGAGATTGATTCCTACTTCTATAACTTTTGAAGATGCTTTTAAAAATCACCTAAAATAATCATAGGAGAATTCCTCCAAGGTGTATGGCTTCACCCTCTCTTCACTGTCAGAGATTGCCAGCTGAGAGGTTCTGATAACATCTTGTCGTTGATCTGGGGTCATCGTGACCAGTGCCTGTGGGATGAAAATTCGTCTGTCACCTGGTATATTTGATATAACATATATTTGATGTATTCAGAAAGATGAAGCAGATACAAAATGAAAAGACGAACAGTGAGTAAGAATAATCCATTTGTTCCAGTTAACAGTCAGTATGAACCGTGCAATTGTTGTTTCTCTGTGCCATTCTCAGTCACTAATGAGAGGAATAACAAATGTTTCCATAATGAGAATCATTTCCTAATGAAGAGAATGGGCTTTTGGTCCTACAACTCCATATGTGAATGTACCTATCAACCCCAAATACACCTGCAAGTAATCAGGCCAGTTGGAGAGAGGTAGCAGGATTCATGGAAATTCCATGTCCTGAGCTTGGGGTATTCAAAGACCAGAGAAAATGCTGAGATCACTTCTGCCTCAGGCAATTTGTCACTTCTTTCAGCCACTCTGGTATCCACCTTATTGTCAAGGAGGTTCTGGCCAGATCTTCAGAAAGGCCTTGATCTCCTTGGGCTGTGTATCAAGTTGTGCTATTCTGTAAGAAGCTTACCACGATCTCCAGTGGAGGCATGGTGACTGTAGGCAAGACATAGACAGAATCCGTTGGGAAATCTCCTCTCTGCTTGGTTCGTTCATTGAACCCGTTAGCCCACCCCGAGTTCATCACATTTTCTCCCGTGTCCTGGTCCAGAACTATGAGGTCTCCTTTGAGGAAGCTGAGAAACCCAGATTCTTCTCCCACTGCAAGAAAAACAACCATTAGATTGATTATTTTTTTTTTTCCAAATCCCATGGGAGTAATTAATCTATCTATATGTTTACCATTGAGCTAGGGCATTTACTTACCAGGGTTTGGGTTATCTTGGAGAGTGACCACATACTTGGATCTTTTCCTTAGTCCTTCAAGGAAAGTCACCACCAGGTCCCGGATATCCTCTGCATTGTTGGAGGTGAAAGTGTATTCATCGCCTTTAATGGTGGCCAAGGTGAAACTCTGCCCTTGCAGCTTTCCCCCTCTGGGATATATTTTCATAGGAGACATAAACAGGAAAGATAATGGCATCAAAAGGCAAAGCCTGGAAAAAGACTGGTTTAGGGTAAGATCACTAGCTAAGTCTGTTCCTCCTTACCTACTACTTGACACAGCCGTGATCTCTGGGAAAGAGAGCTCTAAGAGAACCTGCTCCTGCTCATCTACAAAGTACACCCCTGTCCAGTTGACGGCTACGATCACATCGTTTTTAGGCAGGCTTGGCCCTGGTTTGAAGACAAGACATACAATCAGTTCATGAAGGGAATTAGGCTGTAGAAAATGTGTGCATTTCAAAAAAGGATGCGATGATCCAAAAACTCAGTGTTAGTTTTAGTAAGAGAAACAGTGGCTGTCTCATAGCTTGAGTTAATCAGGATGCACCCAAAATAATGTATCTAATAAAGACCACCTAGATGGTTCATTAAGTCTTGTCTGTGGAGCCTCTATCTCTCCTTCTTTTTGCTTTGGAGCATCTTGTGCTCCAGGGATGTGCTCTGCTGACTCACCTGAGAATTTGAAGGCTTCATAAAACCGAGAAAACAGCAAAGGCCACTTGAAACGTGCAAAATCCACTACCTCTTCCTTGACTTTCTTGGGGTCTGTCCTCTTCTGAGTATAAATTCCCTACAGACAAAGCAAATTGCAACCAACATGAAGCACAAACCCAGACATAGCCAGGAAGAGAGGAAACAAAACCAAATAATGTTACCTGAAGCTCCTGGAAATAATATTAATGTAGGTCTTAATGAGGCTAAGGGCCAAAGTCTTACAGGAACACGGGAGAGGTTGGACAAAGTCCTGGCAAAATTTTGGTTCCCAATTCAGGGAATAACTGGACTCTGAGAAGGCTGGGCAAGTGTTTAGAGTGACCAGTCTGGGTAGGATTCATCTCAGCTAATTTGCAGTTTCCCTAAGGTAGGTAGGTGTCTACCTTTCAGCTTGACGGTTCTTTAGCTGGAAACAGACACTCGATAGCCCTTAATTACAGGCATTTAGCTTCATTTAAGACATCCTCAGATACCTGAGACTTCTGTAGGTAGCTGACAGGCTGATGGAGGACCTACAAGATACAACTGAACTGCATCTTTGGGTTTCCACTGACAGTAGTGGGAGGTGACACTCCTAACACACATGGAGATGCTTACATTTTAGGGGTCTTAATCTAGAGCTGGGTCTTGCTGTTAAATGGATGCCAGTTCTCATGCTTGGATGGAAGTCAGAAAGGTTTTATACAATGCCTGGCATGATAAGGTCCTGATATTTCCTGGAGACATGAATCACCATTGTAATGCAAACAATAATAACACAGTCCTGAGTACCAGGAATGAAACCCCAGAGATGGCATTTTGCTTCTCATAGTGAATCTTTGCAGGTTATCTCCTTCTATCAGATCTTGCCTCAAAACCAGTGGGAAAGGCGAATATGGCTAGTACAAAATCTGACCTTTCTCTTTGATTTAGCTTCAGGCTGGGCTAAGAGCTGAGCTATGATGTCTGACATGTTTAAAAGGCACATGAAGCTACCAAAGCATGCCTTGGTCCTTGCCAGGTCTTCTGTTGTCCCCACCTTTTTATGAGCGGCTATAATGAGCTGAGCCCATTTTTCCACAGTTTTCGAAGCTGTGATCTCTCTGTCCGGGATGTAGGATGGAATTAGATTTAGCAGCCTTTCCAGTACCATCTCTGACCCATAGTCCACATAGTACTGCTGGGAAGCCAGTTCTGCCAGATCTTCTTCCTGTGGGAGCCAAATAAGTCAAGTTAATGCTGCTACCAGGCTGTCACCTCAACATCCATCCTCCATCACTCAAGGAGCTCTTTGTGGAGGCTTAATGTACTGCTACTTCAGAATGATGTGGGGATCATAGAATCATAGAATCAGAGAATGGTTTGGGTTGGAAGGGACCTCAAAGATCATCTAGTTCCAACCCCCCTGCCATGGGCAGGGAAACCCTCCACTACACCAGGTTGCCCAAAGCTTCATCCAACCTGGCCTTGAAGTTCCTTTCAGCAGAACCTCACCAGTGCTTTTTGCACACCCAAAGTTTGGGAGGTTGACCACTAAAATCTATGATTAACTCTTAACGTGTTCAGTGACCAGCACCATGCAACCCTGTATTGCGTGTGAACTGCAGTCTCTCCTTGCAGTTCCGTCTGCTTCTGATGCTGGCAGTCAGCAGTGGGTGGTTTTGCTACGGTAGACAGAGTTTAATGGTTGAAAACTCCATGTATCCATCATTTTTCATATTTTAGAAGCTGAGCAACTGAAGCACCTGTGCATAATGCAGAACTGTAAAATGTCCTTTGGTGCAGCTACATTCCAAGCACTTTAGGGAGAAATAACAGACCTACTGAGATGATAATAGCAGAAGGAGAAAAAGAGCAAGAGAAAAGGAGGAAGAAAGGGCAGGACTTCTGGATAAAAGAGCTGCAGTGAATGCAATATAGATGGGAAAAGATGATTTAGATCCCGAAGTGACTAGACTCTACTGGACCACAGGAGAATGGTTAGGTGTTGGAGAAGAGTTGTCTTCAATTTGACACCTGAATGATTTTAAACACAAGCAAAACAAAACATGATGGACATTGTCAGAGATTTTGATGTCTCTTGAGATGCTCATTTCAGTGACACTGGAATAATCCTGTAAGCTCCCAGAGACTCTAGAGGCATAGACTTCTGCTGCCAATGTCCCCTCAGCATACGGCAGCATTATTGGGTTTGTATTGCATGGCAGAGGTCGAGGTATTTTGAAAAGCATCTCTCATGTCTAAGGCATGGCAGGATTCACCAAACAGGATCCTGCTGTGTACTCCTGGTGATGTAGTTACAGTGTGCTTGTGGCCCTCCAAACGGAGCCTGATGGATGAAATGGCTGTTTACTCTCACATCCAAAGTTCACCAGGACAGCATGGTCATGCAGCATGTGACAGTGTCCGGTCTCTCCCTAGCCAAGAGGATCTGATTCCTGTAGCTCCTGTTTCCCAGGTGAATACCATAATCCTCAAACTAGCAGGTGTTTAGGGAGGAAGATTTCTCATCCCCTTTGAGGAAACGTGGAGAGACCAAGAGTTGCTGAGGACACTTACCTTGTCACACCGGTACTCGCCAAACTTCACCCCTCGCACGATCTGTTGGTAAATGAGATTGGTGGCCACATTGTCCTCATTCGGGTTGTGCCAAGGAGTGAAGATTTCCTTCCTGAAGAAGAGCCGCCACGGCGCGTTGCGCTCCTGCGCTCCCTGCTCTTTGGCGTACTGCTCGCACTGGGACACAGCGTCCATCACATGGTCATTGCCACTCCCCAGCGAGGAGACCTAGTCAGGGCAGAGGCAAATGGTGACCTCTCTAGGTCTCTCATCACCTCATCTACCTATGAGTCGCTCATCCAGGCTTCCTTTCTAATCAAAATAAATCAAAGTATCTCTCTCTACTAGCCAGCCAAGAGTGAATAGGTCTACAGTCTAGCTGGGTGAGCTGTTTTGTTTTGAGCCCCAGTTCCCCATCCAGAATGGAAAGAGAGTGTTAAAGTCAAGAAGCAAAGCCAACGGTCCCATTATAAAGTATTGTTTATTCATACTGTACTTTGAAACATCATGGACTTGGATCCAATCGTGCTAAACCACAGACAAACCCAGAATAAACAACCTGTCCTGTAGCACAAGATGTAGCACTTCTGTCTTCTCACTGTGGTCTGGCACAAGGCCCTAAAGCACTCCATCTCCTCAGAGTGAACATCCCTGAATGAACATCTCCTCAAAACAGACCAACACAGAGCATAAACCATTTTCTTCTCCTCCAGCCAAAGATGGAGGTGGCCACATGTGGAGGTGAGGATATACTTCATCCCCTTACCCAGCAGCTGTGAGAGTAATTGTTTTATTGGCTTGCAGCTGTTGTCTCACCTGGTGAAGTTTTACTCTAAGCCTGTTTTCCCTTCTTATTTATGCTTACCTTTATTTTTATGGTATTGCTGAAAAAAGCTAGTTTTTTAGGTTAAATAAATCTGGTCAAATGCCAATGTAGGTATGGCAGTTCTGATTTTAGCTTATTTTGGAAACTTAATTTCAACTATCAGCTTTCCAATTAAATGTACTTTCTCCCTTGCTTAAAAATCCAGGCTGTTTTTTGTTTGTTTACTAGGAATTCAACTCAAAGTAGCTTGACTGAGAGTAAGAGCATAGCATCACAGAATAATGTAAGTGGAAAGGCACTTCTGGAGGTATCTGGTCCAGCCCACTGCTCAGAGAAGGTCCATCTTTGATCAAGTTGCCCTGTGCCTTCTGCTGTTAAATTCTGAATATCTCCAAGGGGAGAGATTTCGTAGTGTCTCTGCAGCCCTACTCCAATGTTTGACTACTCTTACTGTGAAAACCATGTTGGCATCTGCACTGTAGAGATGTTGCTTCCTGACTTTGGTTGTTTGCTGAGAGCACAGGGTCATTCTGCCCTCTGGAAGATACATGACAGCAAGGAGAACCTCCCTCTTCTTTTTCAGGGCTAGTCAGGAACACCATGTCAGACATACCTTGTCGAAAAGCGCGATGTAAAGTGAAAAGCCAAATCGGTCCTTCAGGCTGATTTTGTCGGCCAAAGAATTGCAGAGCTCTTTGGCGGTTGTTGCGGAGTCAGTCAATAGGGTTTTTGTTGTTCCATCCATAAACGTGACAGGCAGCATGATCGGTTTCTTGGATTTGGTTGCCTAATGGATTAAAGTCAAACTTTATAGAGGTGTGTGTATTTCATCCCCATCGAGACTATTTACCTACATAGTCTTCCACCCTGACCAGCTGATTTTCAATACCACCCTAACATACTTCTCAACAGCATAACGGATGGTCAGTCACTGGAAGCACTTGGAAGTCCCACGTTTTTTATTTAATACATTCAGTCATATCCAGGCATGCCCAGAAATGCTCTTGGGGATGGGAGCACAGCTGTCTATGCTAGCAAACTGGCATAGAAAATGAGCAACCATTGCACAAACTGTGCCTGTTCCAGCTATGTCCTGTTCCTTCTTCTATCCCTGAAGAAGTCCCAGAGACCATTCTCAGGAGGCAATTTGCCTGCAGCCACCTTCATCTGGAACACAGTTTCCTAGCATACATGGGGGCTTGCTCTGTGCCAGCTGGCTGCAATGCCAGAGAGCACTCTCGAACTTATTTAATTTACAAGTACTGATGCAGCCAAAGGGATTGCTCTTCAACATACTCTGGAGCAAAGCCAAGGTGCATGAGGAATGCAATATCTTGGAAATACCTGAAAATTCTTGAGAGGGTTAGGCGTTTTTGTCATGCTGCTTTCTGCCTTGCCAGAGATGTGGTTCCCCTGATAGTGAAAGGCTCAAATGCTGAGCCG